ACGGCATAACTAAAGGAAACGATAGGCCATATCATACCGAAAGCTCCGGACGGCAACGTAGAGGAAGCACTGTTATAACTAAACTCCACGTCCTTTTCAAGAACACTCACTCTCACATAAATTAATAGAACGTTAGAAATCCTGCACGACAAATTTAAGAGGGAATGACATGAGCTCGACAAAGCAGACACTGCCCTCGAAGATCAAGACTTTGACCTCTACGAACACTGCCAATATTCTCCCAAAAACAGTGATCCAACGCTGGAGCCACGGATAGCGTGGATAGATGGAGAACTGAACGCACCTCCTGACAGGACCTACTTCGATAAAATCGAGACAACTAATTTTCTGGACTTGAGCATGTCATCTCAATAAGTCATGCTTCGTCTTCGTCCCACCAATTTCGTGGTAATCCCGAACCCCCCCAACCTATCTCCTTTGACTCTGACCAGGTCTAGGTGGCAACGATGAGTGCAGTCGAAACAGTAACAAAAATGAAGAAAAGATTGTCTATAACTTCAGTCGCTATGAGAACAACAACACACGACCCCCTTCCTCCTACCTCCAAGAAGCAAATGCTTACTAAAATTACAGGGAAGGAAAGCCGAAGAGAGACAATAAACGTATTTGAATAGGATTAAGACGAAAGTCAGCAAACAGTGAGAGATTTAGAGTTGCTAAAAAGTAAGGAAGAAGAAAGATGATAAGAGGCACAGAAACAGTGACCAAGGTAGTAGGACAGAGAAAAAATTAACAACGTAGAATACGCGTAAAACAGATAATTAAGTGGCAAAGAGATGGGAGTCAGGTGGAGACAACAACATGCTTCCCACTCCCCCCTATCACTGATCTATCGTCATTATCATTAAAAGTGCGTACGTAGGTATGTATAGTGTATGCAATCAGAAACAAGGTGGATATAAAAGAGAAGTAGATTGAGGGAGAGGGGAGGAGCAGCGACTTTTAATAACAGGGGCCCACGCGAGTACTCACGCAGGACAATGGAATGACGCAATGTGATTCAACTTGGTAGAGGTGACGGTGTTGGATGCGGCCGGTTTGAACAACAGTGCAGCAGCTAGCGCTAAACACACACGGGCTTGGATAATCAGAGAACGGAGGGGTTGGGAGGAAATTATGCGTTTCCATGTATGTGCAGACACCTGGAAGGGGAGAGGGAGAGGGTAAAGGCAGTGAAAGGCGGGTATTAGTAGGAGGGTCCATTGGTGGAATAGAAACCACCGGATCCAGCAGCAGGGGGCGGCATCATTCCCGTCCCGTAGGCACCGAGTTGAGGCAACGTCCCACCCGTCAGCATTAATGGAGTATCCGTATCTGAAGACAAAAGGATCCGATAGAAAATAGTAGTACGACCTGGGAAGAAGCTTAAGAACGTGCAACCAAGTGAAAAAGGCTTTAAACGAAAGACTAAACGCCCCATAACTCACATGGGATGGACCTCAGCGTCTGCAGAGGCAGGAAGGGATTTCTGTGCGCTACATTAAATCATAATTAACAACTAACTGGTAAGTCTATAACACTGAATAAATTATACATGCGTCTATCTCAATGCGCGGTTGAGGCCTAGCGATCTTCAGACGTCGCGAGTTACTATAGGCATCGCTCCTCATCCCCACATTGAAAAACTCATGCGAACAGGCATTTGGTCCCACCAACGGACAGCATGCTTTTATGGACACCAGAGATGATACTGATGACGAACGCTCGGGCTTCAGTATATTATGAGAGCGCACAGACGCGTAGTGACACTATTTGAGATAGCGAGCGAGCATCGCGAACAATCACCAGTGCTAGTGCGGTGCAGGAGGGGAGGGTAGCGATATCCGCAAGGATTTTCGCGCGTGTCTATGCTTAGGCACTTTTATGGAGAGAGGGGAGGGAAGTTGAGTTGCATTTTCCTTAAATTTCTGCCTTAGACATTTCCTCTTCATACACACAAAGAGTTGAACACTTACGGAGGACAAGAGGATTTACCGCCTGCTCCTTCTTCTCCTCCTCCTCCGAACGGGTTCGTTCAGATTTCTCGAGGTGATCAATCTGAGAGGAAAACAAAAACTTCGAGATAGGGCAGGCGCAGCAGAAGTAAACCACAATTGCCACCGTCTGCAACATGTAGGTGACGCTAGATCCTGCACAGAAATGCTTCGGCTAGGGATGACAGTATTCCATGCATCGACTTGCACTGTATGCGCGACTGTGCACAGAGCCACGCGATTAACTCAGGTGGATGATAGGCGAGTTTAAGTGCGCATGTGTTGTGGGTGAAAGACAAGAAAGATAGACGCATTTGGAAGTAAAAGCACACAAGCGATCATGTATGCTCTTGTGCGCACCAGGCGTCTAGATCGATCGAGCACACGCGCACAATGGAGTAGCTCTGTTGACAAAAAATATCTGGTAAGGAAGATTGGTAGAAACTCCAAGAGGCTTATTCCTTACTACGATAAGACTAAGGCATTTCAGACGCGCAGTCAAAAAGGAACCCAGGGTACCTACCTTAGCGGTGAGTTCACGAATGGTTTGGATGAGGAAGGGCATGGCCATATCAGTGAGCCCATTGCGCCACGCCAGCTCAAGGACAACATCGGGTCGAAGAAGGTCATAGCACTGATAGAGACAGGCAGAGAAACAGTCTGGTAGGTTCTCTGAAAGGAACCAACGCAGGAGATCCTCTGCTGTCTCAGGATCTCGAGAGTCTGCGGCATACTGCATTGCATCCTGCACACAAGAAACATTTGATAATCGAAAATTTTCGTTTAAAATTAATTACAAGAAATACAGTCGACGAACAAAAGATATTTCACCGTCTAGTGCCATGTGGCAAAATGAGCATTATCAGTCCTAGGTTCCATCAAATCAGAAGGGCTAAACTCACACGGTACAGTTTGTCACGCTTACAGAGCTCGATGCTCTGCACCCATCGATTGTTGCCCTTGTAGAGGAGAGCCGAAAGTCGGCGAAACTCAGTCAGCTCGTGCTTCTCAAGGGCCTGAGCCAAGGCAATGTTGTCAAAATTCGAGTGTGCCTCGATCGAATGCCGCAAAGCCTAGGGGAGGAAATAAAGACAAGGTCTAAAGTAATTTCCTAAAATTTGTGGATACTGAGCAATAATACGGTCGACCAACCGACCTGATAGTCCTCTTCTTCAATGAGAAGGGCGTTCAAAGCTTCATTGACTGCCTTATTGTTAGCACCGCTCTGCTGTACGACACAAAGATATGGTTTGACGAAGGCAATGTGGCCGACCTTGGTGAAGAAGGCGACGGTACGTGTGTGGTCCAGTCGAGGAATGAGTACAGTGAGAAGGTCGTTCAGTAGGAGAGGCTTGTAGGTTAAATAGAATTGAATGGCTTTATAGTAGAGCTCCAAATTAGCCACCTTAGTTATCATGTCTTTGAAGTGGTTTTCACGCCAAGCCTCCGTAGGATGTGCCATCATTGTTTGCACCGCATTGTCGTACTCCTCATAGCGATCGTAGAGGAATACTAATTCTGCCCACAAATGCGCCTGTTCTGCTGCCCTCAGTACCTACAGACAATGCGGGGTCAGTAAGCGCAAATCTACTCAAATCTACGAAATGGTCTATTAATTTTCACCCATTTTAAAAGTGTAACTTAAGCGCCGCATTTGATGGCATGAAGAAAGACAAACCTATAATACTCTGTGGAAAATGTGATAGGTAAGCACATTAAATTACCTAACCAATCAATAAGCATAATGCACTTAATATATTCCGCATAGTAACGTCATTTAAAGATTCAACTTAGATCCTATGACAAGGGGGCGATAGAAATGGGTGTAAACTTCCAACCCACTGACTACCGTGATCAATTTAGAATTGAAG